CATGGGCCAGTCTGTCCCTGCACCCACCCATCTGTCCATGGGAATGCCATATATACCCCTGCAGAGGCTGGGATGGCACACCAAGATTCCACCCATGGGCTTGGACCCATGAGGGGAGGGAAAGGTTTTTGGGTTTAGAGGTGCATACGGGTTGCTTTGGCTGTGAAAGCACTAAGGAACAGGGTGAGGAAAAGGGCCAGAGCTGCTGCTTTACCTGGAACACAAAGAATGGTGCTGTGGCTCTCTCCTTGAACAGCTCCGAGAAGTCGGGCACCACCATCTCAGCCCTACAAGAGACCAGATCCTGTTCTCTACTCGTGGTGGAGACCGTGGAGGCCCTACTCTGACACTGCTACCTGGGGGCACTGCAGGCCTCCCTGGGAAATGAAGTGCTCCAGGAACCCTCTAGACAGGACGCTCCACTCAAATATGGCTTTCCTGGTTCCCAAGGTACCGGGGTAGACTTGCTGCCCACTCCCAGCCTTGTGCTCCACAGAACCCAGATGAAGTTTCTGAATCAGCAACAGGCTCTTCAGGCAGCCATCCACCCAAGCGGGGCTGGTGCGAGACAAGAACCCATCTGGTCGGGCGACAAGGCAACTGGAGAGTGAATGTCTGACTGTGGGACAGGAGCCCTGAAGCTGCACAGAGGCGGCCAGCAGCTGGGTGCCAGGGAGTCCCCTGGGGCCTAAAATATGGTGCCTGAGTCTCACTCCACTTTGGAGAGGGGAGGTCTGGAGCCGCTATTTGCTAAAAACTCCCTGAATAAAAGCCCTGGAATATGAAGAACTAGGCCTAAGGTGTGTTCTATGACACTGTATAGTGGGCCCATGTGGCCAGGTGACCGGCCAGAACAACTAGGGCCACCGTCACGCTGCCCTTGAAGTGGAGGGATGTCCTGGACATGGGATGTGAGAAAATAAGGGGCCCCACTGTGAACAAACAACAATTGAGCCTCATCCTGTATTGCGTCGGGCACATCTGCATGAGTAGGGATGGTATGAAAGGGAATGTGCCAGGCTGCCACTGTGGTTGACCTGGGTGGGGGGGATGGTAAATGCTTCTTAAACATCTTCATAGTAGATCGATAGTTGTGATAAACATGTTTGTAGTTCTCTGAACAGCAATTAACCCAGGAAAGGTTCCCTAGAGGTTTTGAGGATTTTTGGTTGAGGATGATTGTCCTGGTGGCCAGGACAGGGGCTCTAGAGCCCAGCTCTGTCCCCTCTCAGCCACATGTCAGCATGGGTGGTTTTGGTGATTAAAGCAGAAAGCTCGTACAGAGCATCTGCCATTCCACATGGTACAACTGAGAACTTTTCTGCTTGCTGACATCGTTTTATCACCATTCCTGAAGTGCAAGGATATGGACGGGGAAAACATCGAAAACTTACGCTTAATGAAAAAATTCAAAACAAAGAGGAGAACTAAATAATAACGAGATAAGGAACAGCAGTCAAGCCTTGTGGGCCACAGGCCAGGCTCCCACCAAGAGATGCCCCTGCCATGGGGAAGCGCTCTCGCCTGCGAGCCCTCCAGGAGTCTTGTCACAGGTAAGTTCAGGGTACACTAGACTAGAGCAGGTTTCTCAGAGGGTGCTGGCCACCTTCATCTAGGAGGTTTTGCTGAAAAGGTGGACTCTTCCGTCCTCCTTCGCAGGCACCCAGACTTGGGAGCATGGCCAGGCAGCTAGATTGTAACCATGGGCAGAGCCCAACTTCTGCCAGCAGGGGCAATGCATGGGGACATGGGGACTCACTTGTTGCTCCCAAACTTCTTCTCGGCTGCGCGGATCTCCGAGTCCTCCTGGAACCCTCTGTTGCTCTGGTAGTATGAGAAGGCATTTCCCACGGGAAAGGCCACTGGGAGGAACCGCTTCTTCTCTAGAGCGTCGTAGGAATACTTTATTTTCTGGAATTCAAAGGACAGCACCTCCTGCCCATCTTCGCCCTGTGGGAGAACATGTGTCTGTGGCACAGGCCCCTGATCTGGGCGTGTCAGCGCCTGGGAATCCCACCCAAGCCATGCTAGGGCAGCCTCGCAGGCAGTCCCTACCTCATTGCGATGCAGGGCCACAAGCTCAGTGGAGCCATTGTTGGGGGTTGGCACCACCTTCACGAAGGTCACTTTGCTGGGGTCATACTCCTGCAAGAGGCAAAGCGCTGTGCTGAGCCCTTCTTAACCCCCAGCTCCACAGCCCTCACTGGGGAGGCTGCAGGTACAGCAGCTCTGTGCACATGTTCCAGAACATGCCACTGGGCTCCAAGTGCTGGCTTGGCCACTCCCTAGTCTGTCACTTGGACAAAGAACAACACCTTGCCACACCTTTGGTCCCATATCATAAAACTGGGGTCATGGACAGCAACCAACACCGAAGACTGCTGAAGATGACAGGAACTCAAACAGGAAGAATGCCACCTGGCAAGAGGTGTGCCCTCAATCCACGTGAGACAAGCTCTGTGACAGCCTACCTGGCCTGCTGCTTCCTGCCCTCCCATCCCGCTTCAGGCTGTATCCTCAAGGGATTAGGAATGATGAGGCTTGAGGCTTGTCCATGCCTTGACTAAGGGCCTTGGCACGAGCTGTTTTCTCTGCCTGGAGTACTTACTCATACAACCAGCTTCAGGCCTTTGCTCAGATGTCACCTTCTCAGGAGGCCTTCCCTGGCTGCTCCATCTAAAGTTCCCTCATGACATTCCTATCCTCGTCCTGATTCTCTCCCTCTTTAGCATCGTCAGCTGAGGACAAGTTCTATCCCCCCCACCAATACCACGAAGGTGAAGGGTTTCGTCTGTTTTGTTTACTGCTGTTTCCTCAGCACCTAAGACACGGAGGCATGGAATGGGGCTCTGTTAGCACTCCTTCAGTCCTGAGCTGTATCCATCCACCACTCTCTGGCAGACCCTGTGACGTGTGTTTTTGGGGTAGGGGGGCCACCATGGTGACCCCAAGAAACAAGGCCCCACCCCTTGGGGAGTCTATGGGCCACTAAAGCCGGCAGAAAATAACAACAGAAGACATATCTAGGAACTCTGGTGACTTCATAGAAGAAAAGTGCAAAGTGCTACATGGGGCAGCCCCATGCCAGGTGCTTTGCAAATGTCATCTATTTCTTCTCACGATGGTACCCTGAGGTAGGCACTATGGTTCTCACTTTACACAAGAGGAAATTGAAACCCAGAGAGCAGCGCACCCTGAGAGCTCTGAAGCAAACTCAGATCTGCCTATCCTAACCCCACAGCTGCTTAGCTCCTCCTTGTTCTCCATCCCTGGAGAGGAAGTTAACAGTCACACTTTTTAGGTGCAGGCCAAAACACAGCTAAGAGTTTGGGGGATGTCACACTCTCTTCAACTCCCCTTCATTTTTTTGTCCCTCACTAGGGTCTCTCACTGTACTGACTTGAAGCCACCAAGCTCAGAAGTTTGAACCCGTCCCCTGGGATAAGGGAGTGTGGCGGGGGGGCTGTTCTGTCTCTCTCTGCAGCCCTTGGTGCTGTTCCCTTTCCCTCTTCTTTCAGCAAACACAGATCTGGGATCAGAGGGGAGGCTGGCTGCAGGTTGACCTCAGCATTCCTGACTCCAACCCTGCCATAAGTCACTTGCTAACAAATAGCTCCTGCTTCTCTTAAACACTGCGATTAACTGCATTCCAAGCTCGTTTGGGTTGTACTACCCGAAGGCTTCTGAGCACTGGACAGCAGAGTTCTCAAACCAAGCTTCACAGACAGGGAAACCCACCCTGCAGGTCTGGCCTCCCACTTTAAAAACCAAGGTAAGACACAGAAGAAAAACAAAGCAGGAGTGTTTCCAGGAGAAACAACCCAGTACTCGCTATTATGGAAGCTGGCATTAACAAGCTCTATCAAACAGCGCCATACGCCAAGCCCCACGTTAACCTTCCTATAGGTATTACCTTATGGATCTAAATGACTGCACCAGGGGGAAATTCCAGAGGAGGGAAGAGAGTCAGACCACGCCAGGTCGCACAGCAAGTCAGCAGTGGGTCCAGGATTTAGCCAGCGCAGAAGCGCAGAGGACGCCCCTGGGAACCCAAGCCCAGTAGATGCTGGGCCCGGGCCGAGCCCAGAACCAACCCGAACGCCGTGCTGCGATTCGCGGCGAGGCCCGGCTCGTGCCCGTGCACTTACCGGAGTGCAGGTGAGCGCGCAGTGCGCGTGCACGGACCAATGCCCCGAGAGGACAGTGAGCGCGTGCGCGAGGCAGATGGAGGCAAGCACGAGCAGCGCAGCCTCAGGGACCTGCGCCCAGCTGTTGCCCCAGCCCCAGCAGCCGGCGGCCGCGGCGCCCAGCCAGGCCGGGTAGAGCAACCCCGCGAACGGCAGCACCGTGAGGCGCCGCAGCACCGCCAGCCGCCGATACGGCCACACGGCGGCCACCAGCTCGTCGCCGCTCGCTATCAGCGCTGGCCCGGCGGCAAGGAGCGTACGCGGCTGCGGCCCGGGCTTGGGCTGCCCGCCGGGCCGGGCCCCACAAGACACCGCGTTGCCTGCCGCCGCCGCCGCCGCTGCCGCCGCCATCTTTCCCAGCGCCGCGCTCGCTTCCGGGCAGAGGCACCGCCTCACTTCCGAGGTTTTACTTCCGGTGAGCCCTGGGCGCCGCTGTGGCAGCCGGGAATGGGAAGAGCCAGGGTAACGTAAGGGGCTGAGTCCGGAAGTGGCTACTCAGGGCGCCGCCATGACAGGCTGTGGCCGGAAGGAGAGGCAGGAGGCCGCCATGACAGAGAGGGCTTGAAAGGACTCAGGTGGCCTTCCGCCCAGCCACGGCCGACTGAGACCGGAAAAGGCGAGACAAGGCGGACGGGGCGCCACCACGACAAACTGAACCGGAAGAGGTGAGCCCTCCTCCGAGAACACATCCGGCTGTCTGGGTCACAGGGGCGGAGCCTGGACTCTGCGGAGGCGGGGCCAATCAGGGAAGGGCCCGCGTACAGGGGCCGAGGCCTGGGCACGCCGAAGGGGCGGGGTTTGCCGTGGGGGCTTGGGAGGGGCGGGGGGCGGTGGTTTCTGGGTGGTTCTCCGCCGGCCGGGGAAGCGCTTCCTGCGGGGTCCTGGGCAGGCGGCTGTGCTGGCTGGCTTAGAGAGCCAACACGGGACACAGCCGCATTGGACGAGAGCCATCATGTAATAGGTAATAATTACGCACCCAAAGTGCTACTTTAACATAAAAATATGCAAAAGTGGTGTTTATTTGAAATGAGATATTATTTTGTGCTATTTACTTTTTGTTACATAAATGCTGTTTGAACAAAACAGTAGCAATGTGTATTGTATATAGTACGATATTTTTGTTTCTTTGTTTTTTGACTCAGCAATTTGAACTAATTTTTAAACTTTTTATTGGATATTTGAATTTTGTAGGCTATATTGTCGCATATTCTTAAGATACATAAGTAAGACTTTGTAAAAGGAGAACATAAATGCAATAGGACTTAGATATACTATAATAAAAATGACGATGACATTGCTTTCTGTCCCATTACACAGTAGGATATTTTTATTTACAGTTTTCTTTTCCAATAATACTTCTCTGAAGGGACTGCAACCTTTAGGACATCCTTTTCTTTTATGAAGTGATAAAACTAACTCAAAGGAGCATTTGTCAAGTAATTATCAAGCCCACAATTACTCTGATTTTTGGTGTCATTCCAAGCTAAATATCCTCTCAACTAGAAGCTTTCAGTATGGATTTTACTTACTAGTAACAACAGGCTTTTTTGACTTGTAGGAATTAATTTCTAGCTCTCCAAATTAGATTTATTTTGCAGACCAGCTATTTGTCAATCAGGTCTTTGCATCTATAAATTCATCATATGCCAAAATGTGTCCAAAATGTTCATTATTTTTGAACACTGTGAAGCACATTGGATGTCATCATAAGTTAAACCTCCCTTTTTCAAGGACAATGGTTTTAAAACATAGAGGTAATTTGAAGTTGTGAAATCAAAGTTGAATTACAAATAGTTACATTTTTAGGCAAGAAACTGAGAACATACTGTTTAATTTGACTGCCGCTTTCTGGTGACATTTTGAATTCAGAAGCAGTCTTATTTTAAAACAGGAGTCATTTTTCATGGTATGAGTTTTTGTCATAACTTCAAACAGTTTAGGGGCAGTTAGTTCATCCTTGTCTGGCCTCCTTATGGCCACTTCAAAGATCACCAAAGAGTTTTGGAGAAACAGCATGTCAATTTCTGCTTGACTGTAATTGTTTTCTCCATTTGAATCTTCAATGCCAAATTAGAGGAGGGCAATTTTCTTTTCTCACACTTTGAAAATATGATTTTATGGCCGGCCAACTTAAAAAAACTCTTGTATTAGAGTAGTTTTAGGTTCAAGCAAAAGTGCAGTGAGAGAAAAGTACAGTGATTTCCTATATATCTCCTGCCCCCATGCATTTATACCCTCCCTGGTTATCAGCTTCTCCCACCGGAGTGGTACATTGTTACCAAAAAAAGAAAACCCAAAAAAACAAACCAAGTCATTGTCTGTAGTTCACCCCTGGGTCACTCTTGGTATTGTACATTCTGTGGGTTTGGACAGATAAATAGTGACATGTATCCATCATTATGGTCTCAAACAGAGTAGTTTTACTGCCGTAAAAATCCTCTGTGCTCTTCCTCCCCCCAACCCCTGGCAACCACTGATCTTTTTACAATCTCCATAGCATTGCCTTTTCCAGCGTATCATACAGTTGGAATCATACAGTATGTAGCCATTTCAGATTGGCTTCCTTCACTTAGCAATGCATTTAAGGTTCCTCTGTGTCTTTTCATGGCTTGATAGCTCATTTCTTTTTAGCACCAAATAATATTCCGTTATCTGAATGTACCATAGTTTATTTTTCCATTCACCTACTGAAGGACAACTTGGTTGCTTTCAAGTTTTGGCAATTATGAATAAAGCTGCTATAAACATCCATGTGCGGGTTTTTAATTTTTTAATGGTGACATGATAACATACATTTCTTTCTTTCCTTCCTTTTTTTAATTCATGTTTTCCAGTTTTATTGAGATATAATTGACATATAACATTGTGTAAGTTTAAGGTGTACAACATGATGATTTAATACACGTGTGTATTGTGTAATGATTACCTCAGGAAAGTTAGTTAACACCTCCATCACCTCACATAGTTACCTTTTTTTGTGGTGAGAATGTTTAAGATCTACTCTCTTAGCAAACTTCAAGTATACAAAACAGTATTACTAATTACAGTCACCGTGCTGTACATTACATCCCCAGGACCTTTGTAACCTTTGACCAACATGTCTCTATTTATCTCACCCCTCAGTTCGTGGCAACCCCCTTCTGCTCTCTATGAGTTCCATGTTTTTAGATTTCGCATGTAAGTGCGGTCACATAGTGTTTGTCTTTCTGTGTCTGACTTCTTTCACTAAGCATGATGCCCTCAAAGTCCATCATGTTTTCACAAATGGCAGGATTTCCTTCTTTCATATGGCTGTAAATCTGTCATCCATCTATCTATCTATCCATCCATCCTCATCTCACATTTTCTTTATTCGTTCATTGGTAGATGAACATTTAGGTTGTTTCAATGTCTTGGCTATTGTGAATAATGCTGCAGTAAACATGGGAGTGCAGACATCTCTTTAAGATACTCATTTCATTTCCTTAGAGATAGTGATTTCTTTTGCTTTGGATATATAACCAAAAGTATGATTGCTGGATCATATGCTAGTTTTATTTTTAATTTTTTGAGGAACCTCCATACTGTTTCCCATAGCGACTGTACCAATTTACATTCCCACCAACAGAGTGCAAGGGTTCAATTTTCTCCACATGCTCACCAGCATTTCCTATCTCTTGCCTTTTTATTTATTTATTTATTTAATTTTTCATTGCGGTAACATTGGCTTATAACATTATATAAATTTCAGGTGTACACCCGTTAGATTGGCAAAAACATCCAAAACCAAGAGTGACAAATGTTGGAGAGGTTGTGGAGAAAAAGGAACCCTCATACACTGTTGGTGGGAATGCAAACTGGTACAGCCACTATGGAAAACAGTATGGAGATTTCTCAAAAAGTTAAAAATAGAAATACCCTATGACCCAGCCATCTCATTACTGGGTATCTATCCTAAGAACCTGAAATCAGAAATCCCAAGAGTCCCTTGCACCCCTATGTTCATCGCAGCATTATTTACAATAGCCAAGATGTGGAACCAACCTACATGCCCAGAAACTGATGATTGGATAAAGAAGATATGGTATATATACACAATGGAATACTACTCAGCCATAAAAAAAGACAAAATTGGCCCATTCGCAGCAACGTGGATGGACCTTGGGGGTATTATGTTGAGCGAAATAGGCCAGTCAGAGAAAGATGAACTCTATATGACTCCACTCATAGGTGGAAGTTAATATATTGACAAGGAGATCTGATCGGTGGTTACCAGGGAAAAGGGGGGGTGGGGGGAGGGCACAAAGGGGGAAGTGGTGTACCCACAACATGACTAACAATAATGTACAACTGAAATCTCACAAGGTTGTAATCTATCATAACATTAATAAAAAAAATTTCAGGTGTACATCATTATATATTTTTGATTTCTGTGTAGATTACATCATGTTCACCACCTAAGGATTAATTACCTTCCATCACCACACACATGTGCCTAGCCACCCCTTTCACCCTACTCCCTTCTCCCTTCCCCTCCAGTAATCACCAATCCAATCTCTGTTTCTATGTGTGTGTTTGTCGTTTTTGTCTTCTACTTATGAGTTAGATCATACGGTATTTGACTTTCTCCCTCTATTTCACTTAGCATAATACCTTCAAGGTCTATCCATGTTGTCACATATGGCTGGATTTCATCCTTTCTTATGATTGAGTAGTCTTCCATTGTGTATATATACCGCATCTTCTTTATCTGTTCGTCCCTTCATGGGCACCTAGTTTACTTCCAAGTCTTGGCTCTTGTGAATAATGCTACAGTGAACATAGGGGTGCGTGTATCTTTATGCATTCGAGTTTTCATGTTCTTTGTAAAAATACCCAGCAGTGGAATAGCTGGATCATATGGTAGATCTATTCTTAATTTTCTGAGGAATCTCCATACTGTTTTCCATAGTGGCTGCACCAGTTTGCACTCCCACCAGCAGTGTATGAGGGTTTCCTTCTCTCCACATCCTCTCCAACACCTATTGTTTCCTGTCTTATTAATTATAGCCATTCTGTCTTGTCTTTTTGATGATAGCCATTCTAGCAGGTATGAGGTGCTATCTCATTCTAATTTTGATTTGCATTTCCCTGATGATTAGTGATGTTGAGCACCTTTTCGTTTACCTGTTGGCCATTTTTATGTCTTCTTTGGAAAAATGTTCAGATCCTCTGCTCATCTTTTAATTGAATTGTTTACATTTTATTACTATTGAGTTGTATGAGTTCTTTTTATATTTTGGATATTAACCCCTTATCATACATATGGTTTGCAAATATTTTCTCCCATTCTGTAGGTTGCCTTTTTATTTTGTTGATGGTTTCTTTTGCTGTACTGAAGCTTTTTAGTTTGGTGTAGTCCCACTTATTAATTTTTGCTTTTGTTGCTTATGCTTTGGTGTCATATTCAGGAAATCACTGCCAAGACTAATGTCAAGGAGCATATTATCTATGTTTTCTTCTAAAATTTTTATGGTTTCAGGTTTTATGTTTAAGTCCTTAATCCATTTCGAGTTAATTTTTGTGAGTAGTGTAAGAAGTGGGTCCAAACTCATTCTTTTGCATGTGGATATCCGTGTGGATTTCCCAACACCATTTATTGAAGAGACTATCCTTGCCCCATTCGTGACTCCCTTGTCAAGTATTAATTGACCACGTATGCATGGGTTTGTTTCTGGGCTCTTGATTCTGTTCCATTGGTCTGTGTCTGTTTTTATGCCAGTACTATACTGTTTCGATTACTATAGTTTTGTAAGATAGTTTTAAATCAGGACGTGTGATGCCTCCAGCTTTGTTCTTTCTCAAGATTGCCTTGGCTATTTGGAGTCTTTTGTGGTTCCATACAAGTTTTAGAATTGTTTTTCTATTTCTGTGAAAATGCCATTGGGGATTGCACTGAATCTATAGATGGCTTTGGGTAGTATGACATTTTAACAATATTAA